GGGCTGGGGCTGGGGGAGGCGGTGGGGCGGCCGAGAGGGCTGCCGGTGAGCCGCTGGTGAGGAGGAAGCGGGCCGATGGAGGCGGCGACTGTGGGGCCGCCTGGGGGCTGTTTGGGGGTGTCGGAGGGGTCGGGCAGCGCCCTGCCTGCCTCCGCCGAGCCCGGGGCCTTGTGGCCGCCTGAGCGCCTCAAGTACGTGGCGGCGGGAAGGCCTCGGAGATGGGGTTCCCTCTTTCCAGAGTGAAATAGTCACTCCAGTATCGTTTGCACTTGAGAAGAAGCTCTTGTAAAAAACTCCAACCGGGTTGTTGAGACCAGAGGCTAAGGAACATGATCGACCAGCTCTAGAGGAAAATCTGGACTGCTGTGGGACAGCATGCTCCTGCCTGTGTGGGAGCGCTCAGACGCTGCCCTGAAGGGAACGATGTGGGAAAGATCTTACGTGAAAGATTTCTCTGCTTGGTCCATATATTAAAACGTAATGTAACTGCATCTATCTGCATAAACAGCTCTCCTTCGCTTCTTGGTAGCTGTGAGAAACTTTTCCTCCATTTTTATCTGTCCTCTGAGAAATAGTTGGGAGACAGACAAGCTTCGTGAATTAAAAGAATGTTCCTCTGTGTTCTAGCAGGATCTAGTATTGTTTGGCATTGAAAATCTCTCACAGATGATGATGGTTTGATAGTTAAGCAGGGATCAATGATATCACTCAGCAGGCAACAGTCTTGGAAGGAAGAGTTGCCATCAGAGCAGTTTTGGGTAATGATAGAAGCCTCACAGATAACCTCTTCAATAGTTGAATACTTAATAGGTAGTAAGTGACCTTAATGACTGAAATACAGACATTGCAGATACTGAATTGTATTTTTTGCATGAAACTTCACTTGAGGAGTGTGTTACCCAGTTTTTATTTCATGTGTGTAATCAAGATGCCAGATTTTTATCAGCAAGTTCAGCTTCATGTGAAGTGACATCAAATTGCTTCAATGGTTAATCTGTCCCTCCCATCAAAAAGCCTTCCTCAGAACTGACTGCTTCCTTATTGGGCTGGGGGGAAGCAGCTTGGTAATTGTTAACAGTGAACTAATCACAGTGAGCTAAAAAGTTGCGTTTTCATAAACATAAAGGAGGCTGCACTTGTCTATATACACATATACAGTAGCTTTGAGAAGCAAATGCCATAGCTGCGGGAAATCATCACCAACTTGAAAACAGCTTTGCCTTCTGCCTAGCATAAAAAAGGTTGGGCTCCTGTCCAGCTGACACTGGGCAGGTTGCTTTGTCTTCAAGATGGCTTTTTGATGAGAGGGACAGAATAGAGGGTGCTGTACTTTGAAAGCAATTTGGTGTCATTTCACATCAAGCTGAACTCCCTGGCAAAAATCTGCTTTGAAGACAGAATCAGATAGTCATTTCAAATCTGTAAAGTGACTGTGAGCTAGATGAGAGGTGACTATGGTATGTGGGCTTTGTGACTGGGAACAGATACCTTTTTGGTTAGAGGGCAAGCCAGGGGAGGGACTAGAAAGGGGACTTGGAACACTCATCACTTGAAAATACAGCACATGCTGACACTTTTATATTGCCATAGTAAATTATATGATCTCCTGAACTCACACAAGTTAGCGTGATAAAAGTTCTCTTGTGTTGGCAGATCTTTGTTTTTCAAGAGACTTTGTTTTCATAGAGGTGTTAGATGAGAGATTTTAAAATTTCTTTTTGCTGTCTACTTTTTGTCTCAAAGTAGTGCATGTGAAAATCTTATCTTGGCAACAGAAGTTAAAATGACTGAGTTTGCAGGCATCTGGACAAAAGAGAATGAGAAAATATTTCATTTTGAAGCTGTTGGCTCTTTACAGAACACTTGAGCATGAAAGGAAATGTTGAGGGGAAGAAGGTGTAAGAAGAAAAAGTAATACACAAGTTGGGGGTTTTTAGCTTTGAAAAAACTGTTTCCTGTACCTAGTAAGATGTCTAGGCAGCGTGTTTGGTTTGGTTAGCTTCCGGAAAGGATGTGGACTTTTTCAGACATCAAAATGTTTTGTCATACATCTGGTGCCTTTGCACCCTGCATTCACGTTGCTTAAATGTACTGCCCTGTGATGTTAATAGGAACAATGGTTGCTGAAAATTCTGCCCTTGTTAATTCTGAAGAGTCAAATACTTGTACTCTGTGAAGCACTTGTCACTGTTTCAAACTCTGAACATTCAGTCAAGAATGAGCCTTTTTTATGTGCAACGGTGGATATTAGATTGTTGGGGGGTGATGTGTTTGTTTTTTTTCCTCATATGATTTTTAATAAACTGATGAACATTTATTATTTTTCCAGATTTGTTCCTTACCTTCCATAAAAATGTCCAAGGTAAGAATGGCATTTCTGTCTTCCAGTGTAACAATGTGAAACAGATATTTTGGTTTTAAGTATTAATCTGCAAGGGTAGAATGTGTAACTTTAATTGTGTTTGATGACAATGTGTGTGCTAAATTTATGGGTAATAAGTAAGAGAGAATTCATATTGAAAGATTGAGTGATGTAAAAGATATATTAGTTTCTTACGAGCACAAACCTCTGCAGTTAACTAATACTCTTTCGAAGGACTTAATTTTGGTTATGGAGTTGCATACAAGCTTCCTGGTGCATTTTCACTGAGACTTCTGCTACTGTGTTTTGAGCAGGAATCATTTAAAAAAAGGATGTTCTTAGATCTAATTTCTTCATTTACTAATAGTGTCAACTGATCTTCAGTAAAATGCTTCATAAACAAAACTTAAGATATTACTGAAATGTCGGGATTCATCTAATTCTTGGTCCCCTGCATTTGGTATAATGGGTAAAACATCCATGTTAGCTTATTGGAGTGAAATAAATGATAAAGGGTACTTGAGTAATGCGTTTGAAGAGGGAAACTAATAGTTCTAAAGATTTCTCTGCAATGTTTATGGTAGTGAGCACTTGCAACACTGTTGTGGAAATCATTCTCGTGATTTGTCTTTAAAAGAGATCTCTAAAGAGGATATCCAGCAGATGGCTATCATTTCACTAGTGGTTCAGGGTTTTCACTTGGATGTACTAAAACCAGATTAGAAATGGTCACCTTTTTATTTAAGTCCGTAAACATGGGACACAAGCTTTTTTATTTTAAATGTTTGTGAAGATACTGTTTAAAAAGCATGTGATTAGTGAATGCACTTCATAATTCAATAAATACATTTTTGGGGGTTTGTTTGTGATTTACTTAAGGTGATATTGGCTGGATAGATGAATAAATGAACCTTTTTTTTTAACTCTAGGTGAATGCAGTTCTGTTCTGCATTGTGAAACTGTTGAGTAGTAGGAACACCTGTGTACTTTTCTCTCTGTATGTCATGTAGCTTCAAACCACTTGAAATAACTGAAGAAAACAGTTATACAAACAAGTATGTCTCAAGTGGTTGCTTATCGTTGTCTTATTTGGTTTTATTTTTAGCAACAGCCTGCTCAGTTTACCAATCCAGAAACCCCTGGCTATGTTGGATTTGCAAACCTTCCCAATCAGGTCCACCGGAAGTCTGTGAAAAAGGGGTTTGAATTTACTCTGATGGTGGTTGGTAAGGAAATGTTTTGTAGTCTTTCTCAAAATTGGTACTAGCTCACAGGGAATTTGCAATTAAAATTGTTACTTCCACTATTGTAAGGCTTCAGCTTGCATCAGAAAGCACTTCTGTACTGTAGCATTTAACTTTCTTTTACACTTTATTAATTCATGCAGCAGTTGTTTTCCACACTACAAATCATGTTTGAATACATTAATAAGTTTGTGGGTGAAGTGAAGAAATTCTGTTGTGCACTCCTGTGATCATTACTTCCTTCCTTCTCCTCTGTCTTACAGGATTCCATCATTCCATTTAAAATACAGTTTTAAGCTCTTTTTGCATTTGAATACAATCTTTGTTTGCTTTCATGTCTTGATTAAGAGAACAGTATTAAGGAGCCTATTCTACTAAATGTTCTTTATGCTTCTGTAGTTCAAAAGAATCTGAACTCTGGTCTTTCCACTCCTTCTAAATACTCCTGTAAGAGAAGAATGATAATTGGATTAGTTGGTTTTGATGTGAGTTGTTACTTTTTAAATTGATCTTGATTTTCTATTAGCAGTTATAATTTAAAGTTTAATTCTATTTGATATTTCATTGAAAATCTGTGTTGGTATCTGGAATGGAAAGAAAAATCTGCTGTGTCTGCAGAAATACCTTGATCTTCTGAAAAGTCCGTGTTATTTTTGCAAATTAAGTAGGCTCCAATATCAAGCTTGGATGTCTTCTATATCTCTCCTGGTCATACTGCTTGGGAGCTCTAACTTCTGAGTTTTGGTGTTTGAACTCTGTAATTCACAGTTTTAAAATAGGCTTTTGTAAGAAGTACCCTAATAGAATGTTTATTTCCTGGCGTCACAAGAAGTAAATCCCATTTACGTTTTAGATTTGTCCAAGAGAGATCACAATGGAAATGAGCAGGAGAGGTGAGGCAGTATGTGATAGAAGGTGTTTAAGTTCTTAATTGTTTTGAATTCCAGTAGTTACAGAGTCTATCCTCAAACCTTTCATTAGTTTTGCCAAATGACAGCCCTAGCATTGCTTTTATCCTGTTTCTGTCTTACAGTTCAGTGCTGGACAGAGTTGACCCTTATTTTTGTCTTCTGAGAATTTTATCATAGTTGTTTAGTGTATCTTTCACTGGATTTCTTTAGGATAATATCATAATAGATATCCTATAAAATCTAAGGGTAAAGGCAAACCAAAAGCAGATGTTTCACATTATGTTATCTACTGTAACTCTTAAGAATTTACTGTTTGGTGATCCTAAAAATCAAACAGTCCTGAGAAACAAAAGATGTGCTTTCTCTGCTGCAGCTAAACTTAATTTCCAGATGTCTTTGAGATTAATTGCAAATAGTGCTATGTGAAACAGTTCTGGCAGAAAGCTATGTAAAGACTAAGTTGTTTCTAGCTTCTTGTAAAATAGAAAATAGGGGGGAAATGACATGGTGTCAGAGTAACAGAAAGGCAATTAACCTCACCCATGTCTCAGAGTAAAATTTAACTTTACAGTTGTCACCTGCCAGTATTCTAAGAGATAAATTAAAACTACAGGAAGAGAACTTGGAGAAAAGTAATTTCATTGAAAATTTGGAGTGATATTTTAAGATAAACTAGCAGAGGGAGGCAGCCTATGTAAGATAAAATAAACTGTGCTTTAAATTATTATCTCATCAGTTTGGAATGTGAATTCTTTCTCTTGAAATATGCATGGGGTTTAAGTATGTTTTCTTGTGGGCTATACCACAATGCCTGTATTGAACTATTATTCTTCATTAAGTTGCCATGCTGCTTAATTTCTGGTCATGAAAATGTTTCTTTAAAAGCTATCTGCATTGACAGTCCTAATCAATAATTATTCTTCTTTGCACTGTTTTTTTCTGCTATTGTTTATTGCGGCTTGTGAAAAATATGAGCTAGAGTTTATAACAGTTTCTCTGCTTGACTGTGTTGCTTCCAAAGAAATCCTAACCACTTGTATTTATTAACAAATTTCACGTTCATTCTCATTATTTAGCTATGACTTCATCTAAATAGTTCTTTCATTTGAGAGTCACTAAACTCAGCTGTGGCTAGTAGTTAGAATAATTACTCTTTTCATTAATCCTTAATAGTGACTATGAAAACTGATTTGGTTTACATGTAATATTTACCCAGACTGAAAGTATGGAACGTGCTACTGGTTAAAACCATACTTTTTTTTGTTTTGCTAGAGTGATGCCATGTGACTGTTGAGTTTCTCTGGCTGCATGTCTCTCACTGGTGAAGGCTTGCACTGATAAAACTCTATCTTGAGAGATGCATTCTATAAGACGTTAAAAACTGGCAGGTCCTAGTCAGATCTTTATTTAAAAACTAATTCCATCTCTTTTTTTTGTTCAGATATTTCTGTCAGACTCCTATTGCAGAATAGCCTGTGTTACTCAGAGGGATCATGTGGCCCATCATTTTTAATGTCTAATTTTTTTAATTAGTTCTATCAACACCTGAAATAAAACCCAAAATTCTAGAAAAGGATTTGTTCAGTGAATTCAAGTACTGAGCACTTTGAGTTCCTGGTCTTTTTTTATGCCGTGAACATTTATTCCAATTAAGATCTTAATTTTCAGCTAATTAGTTGGCTTTTGAACTTTCCTCATAGCTCAGTAACGCTAGAACAAAACCCCCGTATTTATGGTACAGTTTGTACCCCCAGTTTCATCAGTGAAAAAAATGCTCTGTGTGTATGTTCAGTGGGTGTGTCATGTTCCTCTTTCCTTGAGTTCTTGTTTGCCATATTAGCATAAAAAGCAGAAATAAATCACACTTAATGATGGTTGTCTATGCAGAAGTTTAGCAATGCCTTTTTTGTTGTTTAAAATGATTATATAGCCTAGGCAGGATTCTCACTGGCTTCTCACTGTGTTTGATCTTCCACATTCTAGAGGGATAGCAGAAAAGTATGCCTTAAAAAATCAGGAGACACAAAATGGGAAATTTGAAGTCTAAATTGATCAAAACTCCACCTGACTAGCAGATTTAATTACAGATCATCAGTAAAAACTCTGCGAAAGTGTATTACAAAGCTGAGATGTAAAAATTGTTATTCAACCTTTTTGTGCAGACTTTTCTAACATAAAATTATAAGATGTAAATTTTTAAAGTAAAAGATTCACGTTATATGTGGAAAAAAGCATAGTCAGATGATAGTGTCAGTACAGTTGAAATTTTCTGTAAATATGTTGAATTTATATTGAATTACAGGTGAATCTGGATTGGGGAAGTCTACATTAATAAACAGCCTCTTCTTGACAGATCTCTACCCAGAAAGGATAATCCCAGGAGCTGCTGGTAAACACACTTTTGTTCTAGTTTCTCTGTTCTCATTGATTTTTGGAGTTGAATGCTTTTATCTTTGGATTTCAGTAACAGCCACTTCTAGCTTTAATGATTTCTAATGTATATCCTTATACTTGAATGATTTGCTAGAGTTGGTTCCCTCTGTACCCAGGATGTTGTAGGCTCTCTGTTTAGTCCTTAGGTGTATTCATATTGGCAACTAGAAACTTGATCCCTACTTTTGCTTAAAAAAATGTCATTGTGTCACAGTAAGATAAATACTCAACCAAAACAGTCAACAACTTTCTTTAATATTTAATCTGTTGCAATTCTAAATGTATGCATTGTTTATGCCTGCTTGGACTTGCAACTTGATTCCTTTGATTTGATATTTAGTGAATGTGAACTTCACCTTCTTTTCTTCATAGACTCATAGAGTGGTTTGGGTTGGAAGGGGCCTTAAAGCTCATCTAGTTCCCACCCCCCTGCCCTGGACAGGGCCACCTTCCACCAGCCCAGGTTGCCCAAAGCCCCGTCCAACCTGGCCTTGAACCGTGCCAGGGAGGAGGCAGCCACAGCTTCTCTGGGCAACCTGTGCCAGTGTCACCACACTCACAGAAGAGAACTTCTTCCTTATATCTAGTATAAATCTCCCCTCTTTCAGTTTAAAACTGTTACCCCTCGTCCTATCCCCACACCTCCTGATAAAGAGTCCCTCCACACTTTCCTGTAGCCCCTTTCACTCCTGGGAGGCCGCTCTAAGGTCTCCCCAGAGCCTTCTCTTCTCCAGCTGAACCCCCCAACTCTCTCAGCCTGTCCTCACAGGGGGGTGCTCCAGCCCCTGATCATCTTTGTGGTCTCCTCTGGCCTCGCTCAAGCAGGTCCGTGTCCTTCTGCTGTTGGTGTCCCCAGAGCTGGACACGACACTGCAGGGGGGATCTCACAAGAGCAGAGCAGAGGGCGAGAATCACCCCCTCACCCTGCTGCCCACACTGCTCTGGATGCAGCCCAGGACACGGTTGGCTTTCTGGGCTGTGAGCACACATTGCTGGCTCACAGTCAGTTTTCCATCCACTAATATCCTCAAGTCCTCCTCCACAGGCCTGCTTTCAATCCAGTCCCTTCGGTCCCTTGTCCCTTTTTTATTCTGTTAACCAAGGCATACAATAATCCAGTGAAAGAGAATATTGTAAGAAGATAGTTAGCTACTTGTTGAATTACTTGCTTTATCACGTTCGCTGATGATTACTTATCACTTTCAACGTTGGGAAAAAATCCAGTACTTAAATTCAGTATTGTTCTCCAAACTGCCTATTGCCTACAGTTTCTTCTCACTCCATTTTGCCTTAGTTTCTACATTATATTTAAGAACAGTATGAAATCTCATACATTCTTCTAACAAAATCTGAAGAATTTAAGTACTGAGTATTGCTGTTATCAGACTTCAGAAGGTAATCCATGGAATAATATTTGTAATCCATGGAATAATATTTGTAATCCATGGAATAATATTTGTATTGTTGCGTCTGCCAATTTTTTGAGTTTATCTCAAAATGACGTAGTCTTATAAATTCTATTCTGAAAGATCAAGTTTACTGTCTTTTAGAGAAGATTGAACGCACTGTGCAGATCGAAGCCTCGACAGTTGAAATTGAAGAGAGAGGTGTGAAACTACGTCTGACGGTTGTAGATACACCAGGGTACGGGGATGCTATCAACTGTCGAGACTGGTACGTACACAGAGTATATATTGATCAATGTATGAAGGCTGACATCCATTTCATATTTGTTCTGGGGGTGGTGGGGGAATAAGTGACTGAAGTGGGGTTATATTAATAACAATATGCAGTTCGAAATAGGATGGCCCAAGTGGCAACCCTAGCTCTTTTAAACACTTCCATTTCAATTATACTGTTAAGTCATTCCTTTTTTTTGGTGTGTTATGTGAAATGCTGAATTTGAGGTCTGATTTTTGGAGAGATGGGCATGTTTTCTATTTTTGAGGAAGCTTAATTTAAGTGTTATAAGTTCATTCAGGTACATGTAAAGAGGCATCAGTAACTTCTGCACAACTTGAAGTAAGTTTTGAGGCAATAAATATTTTGATTTTTTTTTTTTCTTAGTTAACCTTTTTAAGTTGGGAACAGCTTTAAGTGAACAGTGATCCTGACTTTTTAGAGTCAGAAAACAATGGAACCACTGGGACACAAGAAATTCAACAATACTCTGAGGAAGTAATTAATCTTTAACGCAAGTAAAAAATCTACCTTTAGATCTTGTCTACATTTGAGTATTCTCAGATTCTGTGCTTTGTTTTTAAGTGCATTTTCATCATCTTTTTTGTTGGGTTTTTTGAGAAATTTACATTAATTACTGAGAAATAATCTGGAGATGAGTGGCAGCCAGTTTTCAATGGTAATCCCTCTTCCCACATCTCTCAAGCCCCTGAACCTCAAGTCAGGGACTGGGGAAATGGAAGTCTCTTCTGGTATAACTGAAGATCAGGCTCAAGACCACCTGAGAAACTTGAACATACATAAGTCCATGGGATCTGATAAGGTGCATCCCATCTCGTCTGGTCATCTTTGGCAGATGTAGTTGCCTAGCCACTCTCCATCATATTTCAAAAGTCATGGCAGTCAAAGGCCCCAGTGACTGGAGAAAGGGAAACATCATGCCTGTTTTTAAAAAGGAGGACCCTAGGAACTACTGACCAGTCAGCCTCACTTCACTGTCTGGTAAGATCATGGAACAGATCCTCCTGGAAGTTATGATGAAACATAGAAGACTGGGAAGTGATGAGATAAGTCCAAATATGGCTTCATCAAGCAAAAATCATGCCTGACTAATCTGGTGGCTGTCTATGATGGAGTGGATAAAGGAAGAGCTACTGATGTCATCTACCTGGACTTCTGTAAGGCTTATCATATGGTCCCCCATAACATTCTTCTCTGGAAATTGGAGAGAGAAGGGTTTGATAGACAGATGGATAAGGAATTGGCTGGATGGCCATGTTCAAAGAGTTACAGTCAGTGGCTCAAAGACCGAATGGAAACCAGTAATGAGGGGTGTCATTAAAGGGTTTGTAGTGGGACCAATACTATTTATTATCTTCATCAATGACATAGTGGGATTGAGTGCCCTCCCAGCAAGTTTGCAGATGACACTAAGCTGTGTGGTGCAGCTGATTCACTAGAGGGAAGGGATGTGCCATCCAGAGGGACCTGGATGGGCTGGAGGAGTGGGCCCGTGCAGACCTCATGAAGTTCAGCAAGGCCAACCACGAGGTCCTGCGCATGGGTTAGGGAATTCATCAGTATTGATACAGACTGGGAGATGAATGGGTTGAGAGCAGCCCTGTGGAGAAGATTGTGAGGATACTGGTGGATGAGAAATTGGACATAAGCTGTCAGTGTGCACTTACATCCCTGAAAGCCATTTGTATCTTGGGTGCATCAAAAGGAGTGTGGCCAGCAGGTGGAGGGAGATGATTCTTCTCCTCTACACTGCTCTTGTGAGACCTTCATCCAGCTCTGGGGCCCCAGCACAAGACAGACATGGACATGTCAGAGTGAGTCCAGAGGAAGGCCACAAAAATGATCCCAGGGCTGGAACCACAGTGAAGAAAGGCTGAGAGAGTTGGAGTTGTTCAGCCTAGAGCATAGAAGGTTCCAGGGAGACCTTACTAAGGCCTTTCTCTCCATCTTTCCCATAAGCTCCTTATATGGATTGAGAGAATTATTACCAGGGCCTGTAGTGACAGGGCAAGGGGCAATGGTTTTAAACTGAAAGAGGGTAGATTGAGGTTGGACATGAGGAAGAAGTTTTTTACAGGTGGTGAGAACAGGTTTCCCAGAGAAGTTGTGGACGCCCCATCACTGTGAGTGCTCGTGGTCAGGTTGGATGGGGCTCTGAGCAAGATGACCTACTGAAGGATGTCCCTGCCTATGATAGGGGGGTTGAACTAGGTGAACTTTAAAGGTAACTTCCAACCAAAACCATTCTATGATTTTAAATCAATTTGGAACAAAAAGCTTAGATTATCTTGAGCATGTGTGATCAATACTAGTCAAAATATAAATACTACCCCAAGAGAAATTTGCTGTAGAAGTTGTGTGTTATACATGTGGTTTTTATATATACATAAAGATAAAATAAATATGCGTAGTAGCTTGTTATTCTAGAATTTGATTAAAAGTTTAAGATCTGTGCTCTTCTACTCTTACAGTCTTACAGCATCAGTAAATTAATTTTAGTTCATCAGCAGGATGTCTTGATATTTTAATATTACCTTTGAAACATCACTAAAATTATTGACCATTTGAGAATGAGCACGATTTCTTGAATCTGTATTTGATTTACAGTTTTAAGACCATAATCTCTTACATTGATGAGCAGTTTGAGCGATATCTGCATGATGAGAGTGGTTTGAACAGAAGGCATATCATAGATAACCGGGTTCATTGCTGCTTCTATTTCATTTCACCGTTTGGTCATGGGTAGGTGTTTCTCTGTCATTTTATTTTTTAAATTATTTTACTTTGAGGAGTTGGTTTGTGCCTGTTGTCTTAAACTTTCAGAGTCAGATTGTCATTTTTAAGGAAGTACTAGAACACCTGAAATTAATTGAGTGCGTTCTTTGTGTAAAGAGAGCGATCTCTATTGGTGTGAAAACGGTAATTTAGATTGAAAATAAGTTAAGCTTTTTTGCATATTTTAATCTTAGCCTTAAGATTTTTGGTAATTTGGATCTAAAATTTTTCATATTATAATTTTAGCCTTAAGCCTCTGGATGTTGAGTTTATGAAGGCCATACACAACAAAGTAAATATTGTACCAGTGATTGCAAAAGCTGATACGCTTTCTCTGAAAGAGCGAGAAAGACTAAAGAAAAGGGTAAGTATTCTAGCTTGCCAAAAAATGTTGCATTTTGATTATAGCAGCATGGTTGCTGAATAAAGGGACATGCTTGTTCAACCTTACTCTTTCCTAGTCAAGAAAAATATAGTCTTGTGCACAATCTAACCTCATTTAATATGTAGTTTGATATCTTGTAAATACTTTTATTATGTATTTCACTGAGAAATTGTCCTTAAAATTTTTTCTTTTAAATGGCAGATTGGCTGCATTTACAATTACAAGTCAATTTTGAAACTTTGGAAAAATATTTACATGCACTTGTTAGTGGTAATTGCTCCCTTACCTGTTTAATCACTCCCAAAGCACTGACGTCTGTATCAGCATCCATAATGTGCATATATTTTTTTACCCAGTCATATTTCTGATGATTGAAAAATAGGATTTTCAGAGATTTTTCTGATTTTGGGGTTGTTTTACTTCCCCTATGTCACCCTATTCTAATACATTTCACCACTTTCTTCCTTTGGCAAGACCCCTTAACACATTCAGTCTTCCGGGACTTGATGCTGTATTTGTTGAGGGTGGGGGGAAAATGCAACAAACCATCATGAGTTAATAATAACTATGAAATTTAGAAAGAAGTGTTAGAATTAACTTGCCAGAAGGCGCACTTGATCCAGTCTTAGCTGTTATATTTAAAACTTCATGATTTCTTGTTATTCTGAAAATCCTTATAGTTATCTTACCTAGCTTGCAATAAAACCAGAGAAGTATACTTTAGTTTGAAATAGGCAGAATTCTAGCACAATACCTAAATAAGGGTGGGGTTTGGGTTTTTTTAAGAGTAAAATTTGGGTTTATGGCAAATTGGATTCCAGCTGCAGATGCCATTCTTAGCAGTCATGGAGACAGTAAAAACTATTTCTTGTGTCTGCAGTTCAGTTAGGTTTTTAAACACTCCCACCCCTACCCCCCAAATAGTAATTTAGAGGCAAGAGCAGGGTGTTTTAAGCTGTTCAAAGCAATTATGACTTCTGAGTCAATGCTTTATAATTTAAAAAAAAAACAATTGCAAAGGTTTAAAGAAGCTCAATTTCTTAAGTGTAATCCACAAAGGACAGTGTTTATTTGAACACTGTTGTTTGTCTCAAAGTCTGTGGCAAGTAGTTGTTGAATATCATGAAGAAATATGGTGTTTAAAAACAAATACTTGCCAAGTAATTTGACACAGTAAGGCTAATTTTACCTTAAGATTTAAAAGTGTTAACTTTACGTATGTATTACCTCAACTGCTTATATTATAAATCTCAGATTCTGGATGAAATAGAAGAGCATGGCATCAAGATTTATCATTTGCCTGATGCTGAATCAGATGAGGATGAAGATTTTAAGGAGCAGACCAGACTCCTGAAGGTATGACTGGCTTCATAGGTTGCCCAGGCTTCCCTATCTGGAAGGTGGTGGTAACAATTACTTATTTTTTTTTTTAACACCTGCAAATGAAAAGCATTATGAACTCATTACTATAATGTGCAGTGCTAAGCAGAACAAGAGTTGTTCTTGGAGTTGTGTGTTCTGGTTCATTATTAGTAATTTTTGCATTTCTGGCTTTCAGGCCAGCATTCCATTTTGTGTAGTGGGATCCAATCAGCTCATTGAAGCCAAAGGTAAAAAAGTTAGAGGTCGACTCTACCCGTGGGGTGTAGTTGAAGTGGAGAATACGGAACATAATGACTTCCTGAAGCTGAGGACCATGTTAATGTAAGTTAGAAAATTTCAATTAAATGGTAGATTAAAAAAAAATCAATGGGAAGATACTCAAACACTGTAATGGGGGTTTGGAGCAGTTGTGGAATTCTTGGAGATATTCAGAATTTGTCTGGAGAAGGCTGTGAGCAACCTTGACCCAGCTAGCCTAAGTGGGGATTGGACCACATAGGCCCAGTTGGTTCTTTCCAATCTGAGTTACTTGGTGATTCTGTGAAAATAATCCAATTTTTTTTGTTGAACACCCTGTTGTATTACTATTGATCCCCCAAAAACATAAATGGGTTGCTTCACACCTTGTGCTTGTTTAAATATATCTATAGGTAGATATCTATCTGCACAGGACTCAAAGGTCCACAGGTTGATTTTTTTTTTTTTTCGGGCTTTGCTACTCTGCTTCTGCCCAGCAGCGCTTTATCAAACACGTCACCCAGGAGAACAGCTTATGTCAGGGCTGCCTCAGGGTTTTATTGCACCGACTTAACTTAAATTTGCTTTTAAATTAGCATGTTAAATGGGTGTACAATGTGTATTGGTCAATGTGATGTGACACAGGTGTATTTTATCTTTTAATTATTTTTCTTCCTCCAGCACCCATATGCAGGATCTTCAAGAGGTGACCCAGGATCTTCACTATGAGAACTTCCGCTCTGAGAGGCTCAAACGAGGTGGCAGGTTGTCATCTTATGGTTTCTTCCTCTTCTGAATTTATTTTTTTGGTCTCTCTCTTACCATTTCACTGCTAGGATTTGGTAGATCATGGACAGCACTATAGCTCCAGTCAGCACCAAGTTCACCAGCTTACACTGAGTGTAAGACAAAGTATTATGTAAATCTGAAGAGACAGTTGTGCCATTAAAAGGGTATAGTTAGATCTCTGCTTTGTTTTAAGGCTTGAACACAGTGGATTAGGATGTTTGAGTTAAGTAGGGCAGATGTCTATGATAAATGTTGTCTTAAGAAATCTGCTAATTAGGTCAGTGCTGTTATGTTAAAAAAGGGAGATTTTCAGAATTAACTACTGGAATATTTGGACTGTGTCTTTAAAAAGAGAAACAAGTCCTTCTGCAGTGCTTTATTAAACATGGTATAAATAAATAACTTTATTGACATAGCAGTCACAGGTTAATGTCTTTCAACCGTATTTTGAGCTATGGTAGGCAGGGCACAACTTTCCTAGTAAGAGACAGACAGTACACCTCATTTTTAACTAAAACAGCAGGATTTTGTAAAGTTGAGTTTCTAAGTTCTTGTTGAAAACTGAGAGTTTCATGGTTTTGATTTTTAAGTTGCTTCTCTTATTTTAATCACTAAGGAGTTTAATAACTGCCCATTTCAGTGGGTTTGATATATTTTTCAAAGCTTTTTACATCATGCTGTCAACATAGGTTTTGTTACATGCCTAGTCAGTTTTCAGGATAGAGTTTGTCTCTGCATGTGGCATTGGCCTACAAGTCCAGTTTTGCTTTAGGCAAGATGACATGCTCTTCTCCCCTGACTTTTAAGTCCTGTCTTCTGAAGTTCAAGCTAAACAAAAATATTTTCTGTCAAGTTCTGGTGCCTGTTACCCAACAGTTACATACAGAGGTCTTAGAAGTAATGTAACCTGATGTCATCCAGAGTCAAAAGAGTGTTTACCAATTTTTAAAAGATTTAAAGTTGCCTCTGCCAAGGACCTGTGACAGTTAGGTTGCTGTTCAGTTGACATATCTTTCTCGGAAACCAAACCATGCTTTTGTATCTTGTCGAGTTAAGTGGCCCATCTATCTTTGTTTTCACATTTCTGAAGTGGTGCTAGAATGTAGTTAAATTTACTGTAAGTGAGGGTAGTTTGTGTGTGAAGTTATTTCAAACTTGCACCTACCCCTCTGCCAGTGCCTGGCAATTAGTGCCTGTTGACTCTATTCACTAATGTTTGACAATCTATTTCTCCATTATCCTTTTAACAAGCATCAGTTTGTTCACTTTGCATTTTTGATAGCACTTGTATGATTAGATCTGTTAGTAAATCTTCCCAATTGCAACATGGGATAGGAGAAATCTATTACCAAAGTGGTCAGTAATCTTGAAAACATAGTACATTAAAATATTCTTATATTTGTTTTCTCAGTGTAAAACTGGGAAATCCCAGTTAAGCAAGAGTTTGCCGAGATACTGATTGAAAGCATTTGCTTAATTTTAACAGGAGTAATCAATGTTTGTACTATAACATGTTATACAAAAGAAGTCTTTGGGACTTGCAAAAAAAAAAAAAAAGGTGACTGTACTAGAAAAATAAGCAAACTTCAGAGCCATTAAGTGGAGCAGAAGATAAAGGATTCCTCCAACTGGAAGGATTCCAGACATGTACAGCAATTGTGTTACTCTTACAATTTTGGTTATGAGCCTTTTAGATGTTTGGTATCAAACATGGTTTATGAAGTTAGAGATGGAGTAGAGCTGCATCAAAGGAAGGTTCTGCCTGGAGGTAACCAGGTTTCCAGGTACAGAATTTCTTAGAGCATAAGTTATTTTACATGTTGTTTCCATATTTTTGTTAACTCCTTGTCCAGCATTACCTTGAACTTATATTTTGATTTAGTTATATTGATTTATTGCACCATTGAAAAAGTAGAATTGAGTATGTCTTTGCAGTATTTCTGAATTTGATGTATCTATGTGGTACTCAAATTGCAATCAGTTAAGATAATGTTATGCTCAGGTAAACTGCTACACTTGAATACTGTTCAGAAACAGTTTTTATTGATACCTACATGCAAATACCTCTCATGTTTTAAAGTCATAGCTAGAATTGGTTTTGAAATTTATTTGTTCTGGAGATAACTTTATGAAGGAGTAAAGGATAAATGGATGTCTTTACAGTAACTTAAAAGCATAAAATGCAGCTGTGTGGGGAACGTGGTTCAATGAATTTTGTTTGTATTATAAAACTGACATGTTTTAAGAGCCTTGATTTTTCTCACAACAAAGCATTCTGTAGAAGTTCAAAATCGGGAATGTGCACACATTTTTAAACAGTATACATCTTATTTTAGGAAAATAGAAGATGAAGAAGTAAATAAAGACCAGATTCTGCTGGAAAAAGAAGCTGAAGTAAGATGACAGAGCTTACTCTTGTGATGGGGGAATTTTTATTCTTGTATCGCTACTTTAGGTCAAATGATTTTTTTATGATCTTGGTAATTTGTAAAGGAAAAGACAGAATTTGTTAATATGAAGTGTTATTCAAGGTTCAGTAACAAAACAGAATGTGAAGAGGTGTAGGAAAGCCTCAGTATACTGATTTATTGGAACGAATGGAATCTGGTAATTGCCTGATTCCATTGTACTGATCAGCAGTGGATGTAATGCACATCTTTTGGGGAAGGAGAGCCATTGTCTCATGAGTAAAGGTTCTAAAGTTAGCAATTACAGACTGGGAAAAAGTCTGTTCAGCTCTGCAGCAAAGGGGGAAACAGTGTTAGGAATTGTCAGGAATAAAGACCTAAACAGAAATTCTCATTCTGCCACTACGATAAATCCATAATGCATAGCTCTAATGCTGTTTTCATTGTCCTCCTAACCCAACTAGGATATAGGCAGGACTAGAAAAAGGACACTGAATAGTAAAACGTGGGCAAGGAGACTGAAGTAGAGATCTGAAGCAGGTCCTGTAGAAGGGAAGATGAGGTTAATGTTCTTCAGAAGTAGATGACAGAGGGGAAGGGTATAGTAAGGGGTTTACATAATCACAGATGGCAGAATGAATGGGAATCTACTATACAAGAAACAGGTCACACTTAAATGAGATTAATAGGTGTCTGGTTTCAAATAAAAAAGATATTTTAAGATAGTCTATAAATTGTGGAACTCGTTAGCATGGAATTTTGTGTATAGCAGGAATGCAGATAAACTAAAAAATGCTGAGAGACTTGAGAATTTTACTCTCTCCATGAATGTGCTCACTAAACAGAAAGGTAGAATTTCATGGATGAGCAAATTCAGACTGACAGATTTCTAGAGTTTGAGCATATGTCAGGAAATAACTGAATGTGTGTACCTGGCTGTTAGGCTCTTCGATGCATCTGCTAATAGCCAGTGTTGGGGAGAAGGCTGAGTTAGGTGGACTTTTTGGTCTGCCCTAGCACAAGGAGATTCTCAGCCTTACTGGTGGTCTTTGTGGCTACCCAAGTCCCAAAAGATAATTGCAGTAAAAATGAAAAGAGTTTATTTTAAGGAATATGAAGAAAGAACAGTGTAAACATTTCACGGGTTTAACCTTTCATTGTTAAGCTTAACAGCTTAGTTTGAGTTTAAAGTAGAATTTAAGTGTTGTGCATGAAACATGGCTGAATTAATCTTAGTAGCTGAGTTACCCGATTACCCCATGTTTAAATGTTGCAGTACTCTAAAGTTTTAATAATGCTAATGTCTCTGGATGGTTTGCCTGTAATAATACTTGCTTCCACCTAGTCATCAGTAGCAACAGATTTGGGAAGTATTCCTTACAGTTTTTTTTAGTGACAGATATAGTTGTATTTTTGAGGGACATGAACAAGCTTCTTTTCTTCTGGTGATAAGCTTTAGTAACTATAAGTATTTGTTCATCACTTCAGCATCATCATATTTATGCGTTTAACTTCAGAGGAAGCAGAGACTTCGATTTAGGGATTCTTAAAAATCTCATCCCAGATTACAGTAATAAACCCTGCTTATTTCGGTCATTAAATTTCCAACCTCTTAATGAAGAAGAGCAGTAAGAGAAGACCTTGAGACTGTTACCTATCAGTTAAAGATAATGCAGATATATATTCCCTCTTTAGTATAAATAATAGTGTGGTGGCATCAAAGAATCATATTCTGAGGTGTGAGTAGGCTACAGGATTCTTCTGTGCTACTTTTCCAGCTTCGTCGCATGCAGGAGATGATTGCAAGAATGCAGGCGCAGATGCAGATGCAGATGCAAAGTGGAGAAGGAGATAGTAGTGCAGTTCATGGACACCATGTGTAAAGTCTTTGGTAAGATGTTCAAATAGCCACTTAAAGGGTTTTTCTTTTAACTACTTATTATTGTGGTTGGTGTTAAGAAGTTTTGGAAAAGTGTTTTCCAGATAGGTTCGCATAGGTTTCAATCTTAATTTTAATTTTTGAGGTTTAACTGCAGTTCATGAAGTGAAATGGTTTGGAGCCAACTAAACATTAGTGTGGTTGTGTATGTGTGTATACTTTTTTTTTTTTACCAAGTCTTCCATATGCTGGGAAGAATCATGGAAGGAATCTTTGAAGTTGTGTAAAACTGTGATTCTCAAACTCATGATGAAGTCATTGTTTCATTGTAACTTTTAAAATGTGTGCAGTTCTTTTGGGTTTCTAGCTGTAAGAAGATAACTAATACTAAATTCTATTTTTCTGCCTTATTTTTAGATTACTTTATACCCTGATTTAAAGGAGACCTTCTGGAGTTGAATTATGCTAGTGTTACACCAGAAAAGATGCCTTTTGCTCAACACATGACTTGGAGTTTGCTTTAGAGTTTATCATGGAAATGCATTGTGGTAACTCTAGTGATATGTATTTCATAACATGTAGTCAGTTGGTACTTTATATATTAGACACATTTGATTTTGTTTTCATTTAGTAATTCTTATATTGAGCTTATTTTCAATTTCCCATTGTATTAGGGATCCAAAATAGACATTGAAACTTTTCTAGGTTGGTATGGTGTTAGATAATATTTTTTTTATTCTGGCTTATTAGCTCCTTGCTTTTAATTTCATATTACATTTAGAAATAAACAGCTGTCAGTGATATCTTATTCAGTGGCATGTAATAGTCACCTCACTAAGAATCCCTGCAAGGTTAATTTTATGGTTTTTCAGTGTTTACAGGTGTGTGTCTGTGAGACCATCAGCTCTTTTTCTGTCTGCTCAGTGCAGATGATTTCCTTGGCCTCTGCAAGTATCAATTAAAATTCAACCACACCTTGTGTCTTAGCAAAAGAAATAAGAGGAAATACCTCTTTAAGATGCACACTGTATTTTACATGACAGGCATCATTTCCTTCAGATTTAACTTTGAGGGATATATTCTTTATTGTTTGCCTAAAATCTCTTACTCTAATGCAGAAAATTTTTAAGAGTTTCTTGTGGGTCAGCACAAATCAATCCTACTATTTTCTAGCATTACTGTAGCCAAATACACTTGAATAATGCTGATATTGTTAAATGAGGTAAACCCCAAAGAGTAGTTTTCTATGTATCTGAGTTTCCTATATCCAAATGCATAAGAAATTCTATCATTCCTAATGAGTATTTTCATACTATTTTTAGGGCATTGCAAACTGTTAATTGTAATATAAAATATATACTAGCACACTTCTCTTTTAAAAAAAAAAAAAAAAAAGTGCCTGACAGGATCAATGCAAATGCTATTCTAGGGTCTTGCTCCAAGAGGGAGTTAGCAGTATTACTTTGAAAGTGACTGATAAGTTACACTTTTTTTTTTAGGCCAAGGTCACTTTCCTTAACACTGGTAGTAAAGGAGACTTTTTTAGCTTGGCTGGACTTCTACTGCATATCACATCTGGTATTGTATTTGCAGTACGTAATAACAGCTACATAGGTGATAGCTGATAAGTTAAGAAGTTGGTTTTTCTACTAATTCTGATAAAGCCAGCAATCAGATTTCCTGATCTGATCTGTTACAAAATGTTGTTATCTGAACAGCTAATAAATAGATAGATATAATTGCAACTTTTTTCTCTTCTTTGAGCTCAGGTGCAGCTGTAATTTTTATAATTTTTTTTAGCGTTTCTTTGAAAAAATTAATATGATTTCTACAGCTAGTTTGTAATTCCAGTGGTATTTAGGTGGCTAGATTAAATATAAACCTGCTAAACAACTGAAATTTTTACCTGCCTGAAATTACTGTTTATTAATTGCTGTGTATTTGAATCTTTCTAAAAATACGATAGCATTTGCTAGGGAGCTCTAGTTTTCTTCTCAAAAGCAATTACTGTCAAAGTTTTGCACAACTCGTTTGACCTTTCCTAACCTTGACAAAAGTGAAAGTGAGAACCTTTTTGTATGTTGAGTTGCACAGAGGTGTTAAGTCCCATTTTGTCAAATACTTACACATAAAATTTAGATGGAAAACCATGCACTTCTAAATTCTTGCCTTGCTTTTTGCAAAGAATGCGTAGAAACAAAGTAATGTGGCAGTATTGTCAGAAAACACTCCACAACACCTTATTTATTTCTAAATATTTTGATGTTTTTGTGAATCAGTTGTTATAAAGTTACCTAAAGAACTCACTATAACCTTAAGTCATCAAATACTTTGTGAAATCCTGTGCTATTCTTCAGTTGCCACAAATCTGTTTCTTTTTTTCTGGTAAAGCAGCATTTGCTTGCTTTTAAGTTATTTGTCTGGTGTCTCTGTTAAACGTTTTAATACAGCGTGCTTCAGATGCTGTCTGCTCTGCCAAGGAGAGCAACTCTGGGACATCCATGTTTCACCCATAAGCTCAATAGGGTGTGGTAAGCTGCATTAGTACTATGACCCATACTTGAAGAAAAACTGTGAAATCTAAAATGTATGCAGAGGGGGGACTGGCTGTATGTGTAATTCTCTCTGTGTATGTTGGTTTGATAGTTTTTTCCTGTATTTTCTAACGTGGGAACAAAAGCAGATTGTCCATGCATTTAGTGCTGTTTGGTCACTACCTGTGGAATTATTTTAAGCAATGTCTTATTCTTTGAAATATCATGTATCTATTAAAATATTCAGGATAAAATATTCTGTTTGATTCTTATGCAAATAATTTTTGATTTACAAATTCTAGCAGGATAAATATTTTCATATGTTTTTTGTTGGGTTTTTTTAAATAGGAAAAAACAAGTTTATGGCACTTGCCATTTTAATTAAATTACTTAAGACAGCTAGTTGCTGCTTCTTCCAAGTCTTTGGGGCAATCATTCATGGTGTGCCTGATGTCTCTGAAGGTCTGTTTCCCCTTCACTTTTCTTGTGATGGTCTTCTAATTAATGGTTTATGGTAAGACATGAAAAGACTACCTTTCTCAGATTCTGTTTCAGACAAATTTAGCTACTGGTAGGGAAAGACTTGGAGGCAAAAGGTAGCTGTTGTCTGGTGGCTTGCTGAACTGGCCACAATTCTTTTTCTGTTACAGCATTGTAATAGTTTTTATTTTAGGAGTCAAAATACTTTTGAATTTGCAGAGTTTTATAGTCAGTAGCAAAAATTACTTGCTTTTGGTACACAAACCTGTTATATTCCGTTTTATGTACTGCCATTAGCCAAAACTAATAAAAATGCTAAAATACACTCATTTTTTAAAATGATTCTTTATTATAATCAACCCCGTCAATATTAATTTGTCTGTGGTGATATGTTTTAAATATAAAGGAGAAATGCAGGTATGGTTGAAAGAGAAGACGTTGATGAACCTGCATAAAATATGGTCATTGATATTGTATGCTCGAGTGCATTGGTACAGTGCATTTCCCTGTGGGTGTTCCCAGAGCTGCTGAAGTCCTGCCTAATGGCATCTTGCTTTTGCAGCAGCTCTCACCAAACTTACATGTCCCTTAATTATTATGCTAGCCAAGAATTAAGCTACTTGTTGTTAGGTGGTGCTTTAAGTGTTAAGGGTCGTTGTATTCCCCAGTGAATCACACTTCATCTCTGGACAGAGTGAAAGGATGTTTGGTCTTTGTTCTAGATATTCCAAAATAATTTAGGGTTCATCTTCTCTGTGAAATAACTTCAATGACCCCTATGGCTGTTACAGATTAAGAGTACCAGGCTGTGTCCTTGGTTTTGGATTCTTGAGCCAACTGTTAATAGCAGAGGATTTTGCAGAAGTATGTAAAATTTGGAATGAGTGCCCTGGTGTGGACAGCTCACTTTGGATTGCTCTTTTGGGTTGCTTTGCATTGCTGGGGGGCACACATTGTGCAGTCAGACCACTCCACAGAAGTAAAACTTGTGCATGTTGTGACCCTTCATAGATGGTTTTAAAGTATATTCATGTTTCATTTATCTGAACTGCTTCGTGTGGAACCGGTACATTAAAGGAAGATTCGTCTTTAGGCTATAGTGAGGGAAAAGGTAAGGAAGCATCCTGAATATGTCAGACCTACTTTTTGAAGCGAGACTTTTTGTTTGTACTGATTGAAATTTTTTTTTTTTTTTTTTTTCAGAATGGCATCCTTTCTGTCAGGTGTAGAAGATCACTTTCATGGAATTCTAATCCAATTCTGGAAAGGAGTGCTGGAAATGAATTGAACTAAGAGTTACACAATGAAATAATTACTGAAGAACTTCGTACTTCCAGATTTATTAGTTCTGTGCACATAAACAAAAAGAATGGTAATTGTGGATGGGGACTGAAATAGCGTGTCAAAACTGACATGTAAAATATGTCACAAAACTGGGTAAACATATTAAGCTTTCTATTCAGGAATGCATGGATTAGTGCCAGTGGTCTCAAACCTTTTTATTGTACATTAGAAAAAAAGGAAGATTGGGCTTGAAAATAAATAATAAAAATATTATTGTGGTTTATATAAATATTATTAAAATCATGATAAACCTTAATGAAAATGAAATTGAACGTGTCTTTTGTACATTGTTTTGCCTTGACTGCTAGAAGGAATGTTATGCTAATGCATTTTTTCCACATGTTGATTTTTGCGCTTACATGCTGGAACGAGTTTTATTTTACTTTAAATCTGCTTAATAAACCCAAGCTATCATTTTATTTTGGAGGAATGGCAATGCATTGTTAGTATATGATTATGTAGATAAACTCATATGGTTTTTATATGCAGTAGAATAATACAGCTGAATATATTTGGATGCAGATTTTCTGTATAACTGTGTATGTATCTTTTTTAAGCTTTTTCTTCTTAATTAATTTCTCATCCAATTTATGCCTGCACTTATACAAATATTTCTTTTCCAGTCCTTTTCACCCACCCATACCATTCTTCAACATACTTAGGATTTATTTTCTTCTCATTGTCTCTGTGCTATTCAGTAGATTTTTCTCTTCTGTCTTTAGACTACTGCCCTTTATTTCCTTCTTCCATTTGGTATCCTGCAAATTTCCAGAATTTTTCTCATATTTCATCCATACCTTTGGGGTAACACTTGTCCTAGTTAGACAGTGGGTTATCTACAGAAGTGTTCCCTTTCCTGAAAATAGTAGTTGGAGGTTACTCCCTGGCTACTTCGGCTCTTCATCAAGGAATGAGGAAGGAGATTATTTAGAGCCTCTTGTGTACCTGTTTTGGGTCATTCTGAATATTAGGATGGCTGGGCTGGAGATCAAATTTATACCACTTCCTCCTAGGCCTTCCATTTAGTTGGCACCTGTGGATGAATTAGTCATACCCAAGTCTCTCTCTTTAGAAACACTCTGATGACCTCGGAGTGACTAAGAAAGCTGCCTTGTGCTGCTAGAAGGAAAGAATGGCATTTCATTAACAAATTCTACCAAAAAGGACTATATTCAGCCTTTATCTTAACAATGCGGTGTTAGCTTACTATCCTGGGCAGCAGTATCAAGAGGTCTAGTGCAGAAAAGGGATGGAGATTTTTATTGGTTTATCATCTACAAAAGCTGGAACTGAGTAGGATATCCTCACAAGATTCTGAAAGAAATGAAATTCAGATGTCAGTTGAGTCCTCTGCTGTTTGTATCTGAATAGACAGTGTGCGTGCACAGAAGTGTCTTGTTTTCAGATAACTATCCTGCACCACACAAAGTCCTGTTTATCACATGGGTGACCAGACAAACATTGCATGGCTCTTCCTGAGAGTCTAGCATGGACGTGACTAGTCTGTGGCATTCTTGCTGGTTTATCTTGCTTCTGTGCCCTGAAGGAGGATTTCCATCAGGATTTTGCTAACTTGTTTCACAGATTTAGTGGTTTGTCTAAGGAGGTTTAATGGCCAGCTCTATTGACAGTGCAGCCCAGACATGACAGGATTGCCTGGGTCTGGCTCATAGCCATGGAAGGGTGTGTCAAAGTTTCAGGTGTGTTGGGGAGTTTCTAGAGCATTTAGTAAGTCAAGATCTGATGTGGCTGTATGTTTGCAAGTTTAGTTTCGGTGCTTGAAATATAGTAGACAAATGAAGCTCACTTCCACCCACAGGAATGAGAGCCTGTAAATCCAGCGAGATAGAGGTGTCCAGCTATCTCAGACAGAGAACAACAAGCTTTTCAGAAACTACCTCTGGCTAGAGCAGAGGCGGCCCTGCAGACACCCTGTTCAGTTGTAAGAAACAGGTACCACAAAGCAAGAAGTGCAGTGCTTTGATTGCTGTGGGAAAGGCTGAGCTCCTTAATAGGAAAAGAATGAGGAGGGTTACTAACTCTGCCAAGCCTGGGGCTTGCTACTGCTCGCTCTGAAAGCCAGTATAAATGGTTTTGTAGGACTGATAGGGCTAATTGTTTTTGCTCTAGTCAGCCCTCCTTGGATCCTCAGCTTTGTGTGTATCTTCTGTGGTGATGGAACCGGTGCTTGGTGCATCAGATGTAAGGCATAGCTGCATTCCAAGGGGGGTCCACTTTGCCAGATACAAATTTCTGCTCAACCACAGAAGTCATATAAAGGAAGGTATGGCAAAAGGTTAGAGATATTTGAGTTATAAGATGCCAGCCATTAGCAACTTTGCTGTGTTGAGGTATTGTGCTTAAAGTGCCTCAGGCTGGCTGTCCTGTTTTTCATTGAGAAACAAATTGAGGTTGGGGCAAAGAGAAGCAATCGCATCATTTTTATAAGCAGAAGCCAAAAATTCGTGGGAAAGTTTCCCATGAAGGAAACAGAGGAGCTCCCAAGTTATGTGAAGATAACCCATTGTATTCTGGAGAAAGTAAACACACACACCCTGAGAGCTAATGCAAAACACTCGTTAAAGCAGATACTGTGCTGCTTCAACAGCATATTTATTAAAAAAAGGGAAAGACACTGACAGTAAAATGTTTTGTTCAGAACATGCCTACTCCTGTGCCTCATAATTTGCAATTCTCCCATTGTTTTAATGTTTTTGATTCATTTTTACTTTTAAGAAGCTTTTCCATAAGGGAGAGCCTAAAACCCAGGTCAAGGTGTCCCTGTAGTGGTACTTGTTCCACGTCCAGAGCCTTTTCCCCTGAAGAGAACATGCGGTTTGGCTCTCCAATGGACTCTTCAGTGGTTCGCTCTTCAGTGAACCAGTTAGCTTGCTTACTAGCACTTTCCTTGGGAAGTTTGTACCCAGAGCAAGAAAACCGGTTTTAATCTTTCTTTTGTGCCCAGCAAATAGTCTCAGGCTGCCTACTTTATCTACTTTGAAACAGAAAAATAGCACTGCAGGAATGGCAGTACATATGTCCAACAGCTGTACGCAGCCCCAGGCTGGGCTTGTTTCTGCCTTCCGGCAGCAGTGCGGACTTACACACTCCCTTTCCTGGCACAAATAACCGGAACAATTTGCTCGGTTTTGGGGGCAGAGTGGGGAATCTAGCAGTCTACTCCTTTGCCAGCAGTTTACCATTTAGTTGCCTCATTTTTGAAAGTAAACTGAGGTTTTCAGTAACACTAACTCTGCTACTTTAAGTTACTGTAAATAGTAAAATATAGTAAAATAATTGCCATGCTTATCTGTGATTAGTGTTCATAGATCCTTAATTTCTTTTTTTCTTCTGAAGTATCCTGTCTATGAAACAGGACTAGGCCTTTCTAACCTTTATATTTAACATAGATTTTTTTAAACATTCTTATTAACTGAGCTTTTGTGTAGCTGTATCAACTAAGGTTTGTTGGCATGTGAAAAAGATCACGTCTTCTCTTGTTAGAATTTCAGATTTTGGTGGAGTGGTGTCTTCTATCTAGTGGTGTCTTCTTGTTGTCGTCCCGTGTCTCTCTGCCGCCCCCCCCCCCCAGTTGTGACTGGATTGAACCCTTGTCCAGCTCCTCTGAGGTAACAGATACTAGCCTGATTTTATGGAGAGGGAAATTAGATGGACCTCAATAAACTTTAAAATAAAAAAAAAAAAAAATGGGAGGGAACCTTTCTGACATTCCCAGTTGTATGGGGTTTTTTTTAGGCCTTGCTCTTTCAGACATACTTGGTTAACCCCACCGTGCAGGTTTTGTTGAGTAAAAAAGAGAAATAAATTGCATACCTATGGAGAAGACTGTTTCATATCTGATTAATGCTTAGGCTGTTACAGTCAAAGAACTAACATCTATTGAAAAATTTTAGGATTAAGTTTAGAGAAAATTTAGGGGAGTCCTAGAGGTATTTATACTCTTCTGCAGTTCGACGGATTTACCACATGGGGGCAATATGCGATTGGACTGTGTCTGTTCTTTTACAGCTACCTATAGATTGAGAAAATAGGTGGCACAGGAGGCAGTTTTTTCTTGGACTTTTGTTCCAGTGCTGTGGCTCAGCAGCCGTATTTCTTTGCAGCTTGTAGCTTATGTATGCTCTTGATTTTTGTGCTGTTGATTCAGAACTGCTGCTGGCTATAGACTGAACCTTCTGGGTAGGAAGGATGTGTTGAGACAAGTACACTAATCAGACTGAAAGAAGTTGCAGAGCAAGAGCCTGTGTGCTTGCAGGTGTGAATGTATGCTGCGCTTAATTGGTTTGTTGTAATTGCCACTTTCACCACAAGAGCTAACTAAAAATACAGATACGATTATGCAAGTCAAAGTAGGTGATTGCAAAAAAAGGATTGCATCCACTAAATTTTTTGGTAGCAGAACAGCAGAATTTTTTCATGTACATAAGTGCCCGTGCTTGTTCTACAGAATTGGTTAATACTGCAGGTTTAACTCCAGGTCATAGTCTGAGGCTGGTGGACTTTGTGCTTTATAAGGGGCAATGTAATTGCTAGATAGTATGGGTGTAGAAGGGCTCCCGAAAAATGCCCCAAAAGGGAGCAACCTGAAAACCTGTGAGAACTGCTATAGTGTGTTTGGGGTAGGAGAGGCAGAAGTAGTTAAGATTGGAAGTGGAAACCCTCCCACAAAGCTTACAAATTTCTGTGGTATGGAAATTGGTTTCTCTAGTTGCTTTAGCCAGATGCTACTAATGATGAGTACTTTTGATGTTATGTCACTGCCAGTAGAACAAGGGGCATTCTGCCAGTTTTTGAAGTACCTCGTTCATTACTGCTGAAAACAGTATTCCTTCTGTGCCTCCAGGTCGATGTTAACCGTAAGTGAACAGGGTGTAAAAGAGTAATTCCAGAAAGTGGTATGTACAGGTATGTCTGT